ACTCTTAGGCCTCCGTGTTAGACCTATCGAGAGCGCTCGCCGCACGAACTTCCCATAGCTCCGCGGCCGCTGCAGCAACAGAGGGTCGGCGTGACAACCAGGAAGCCCATCAAGTTCTCGCGTTAGGGCTGCTTCCCGAGGCGGCAGCAGCATCCTGGAAGCAAGCTCCTCGAGGCATTGCCTTGCCTGCGCAGGAAGCGCGGTGGCCAGCGACGGCGCGTCGACGACACTGTCTGGCAAGCTCGCCCGCGAGTGCTCGTAGGAGCCCATGCTGGTCGCGCCAAGGGGGGCGTACCCCGCCTTGCCCTTAAGAAGCCTGGCAAGGGACCCCCCCTCACTGACGGCGCTGTCAACGTCTATCCACTGGCGAGCCGCCGAGAAGACGCGCTGCTGCACGTCCGCCGAAAAAGCATCCATCTTCATCTGGCTGATCAAGCTCACTGGTGCTCGACCGCCTCGGTGGATGCCTCCATGCAAGTAGTTCAAGCTTTCGCAGGCAGCGTTGCCGCCCCGAAGCCAGCGCCGGCGCTGCGCCGCGCTGAGCCCCTCGCACCACTCGGGAGGCAGCTCGCTCAGGTGGGCCAGCGGCAGGAATGAAGCGCCGCGAAGCCCACTGGTGCCCTTCGATCTACAGGGAGCGGTCGGGCGCCCGCCCCCCTCCGCCGAGGACGTCATGAGACTGGCGGGCGGGGGGCGCGGCCCCGCCCGCCTCGCCCTCGGCCACGGCCACGACCACGGCCAGCATCAGCAGCATCTCCGGCTCCGTCACCTCCAGCGCCGCCTCCGAGCGGCAAGCCGCCAGCTTCCACCGCGGCAGCCGCAGCGCCACGACCGCCCTCAGCCGAAAGGGCCGTAGGCGTCTTGGCCCGCGCCCGCAACGCCTCCAGCTCGTGCTCCTCCTTGCTCAGCCGGCTGGCCGCAGCGCCTCGGGCACCGGGTCCAGCGGATTCGTCGTCCCCGCCAGGTGCTTCGCCGCTGCCCAGTTCGCGTGGTCCGCACCGTGCGCGTACGCCTCCGCATACTGCAGCAGCCGGCGGGCGATCACCTCCAGCGACGCCAGCGCTCCCATGTTCACCTGGTCGTAGGTGCCCGCGAGGTACAAACACTCGATGAGTGTCTGAACCTCGTGGTATGCGCGATCCCGTCGAGAGATCCCCGTCTCCTTGCACCACTCCTGGAACCAGATCTTGGGCGCGCCGCCGCGACGATACATCTTGCGGCACACCTCCAGGCAAGCAGGCGGCCCGCGCAGGCTTGAGTCCGAGAACACCTCTTGCGAGCTCCTGTATTACCTTGCGCCATTCTTTGAACCTCGAGCCTGTCTCGTCAACATCGATCCAGCACGTGCGTAAATCCTCGGCCTGCTCCTCGCCAGTGCCAGCTGCGACGGCCGCAACCGTGGGCGCCGCAGGGGGCGCTGCGGTGCCGCCTCCGCCACCGCCGAAGAGCCGATCCCCGAGGGCGCCTCGGGGAGGTCGCTGCCGACCCGCCGCCATCAGCTTGTCGTCTCGCCAGCTGTCGGCCTGATCGTCCTCCACATACTCTATGAGCCGCCACTCGCCCATCTCATCCCTGTCGAGCCCGTAGCGGCCCCGCAGGATGGCAGCCGCTGAGAGGGGCACCATATGGCCGAAGTCGCTGTCCTCGAACGAGCAACGCACCCACGATCCTGGCGGCCGCTCCGAAGGCGGCGGCGGGGGCGGCGGGCTTCCATCAACGAGCACAGGGAGGTCGGTCTGCACCTCCACGCCCTTCTTGCGCAGGCGGCGCCGCACGCGAGAGACCTCCACGGCCGTCGGCGCGGGGATGTCCAGCCTGCCTCCGAGCCAATCCTGGCCAACGCCGGCCCACCAGCCGTTCGCTGGCGGCCCGTGCTCGAGGACGGCCTCGCCCCGACCGCGCTTGATGAGCGAGACCAGCTCAGCCGCCTGCAGCCCCCTGTTGAACGCCACCACGTTCCTGACGCCCGGGGGATACCGCCTCCGCCCCGTCATCGGGATGAGCGATGCGTAGTCGCCGAAGTCCTCGGCGTACAAATCGTTGCCAGGCGTGTAGATCTGCCAGCTTGCGCGAGCCTCATTGCGAGGCCACAATAACACTCGTTCGTGCGTCCAGCCCGGGTCGTCACTGTACGTCACCAACAACCTGAGCCCAGGGCAAGTATTGTCGTCAGCCATCGTCACTGAGCTAGGCCAGGTGGATCCGAGCTTCACCGATCGGCTCGAGCACCTTGCGTGCCACTGCGTGGTCCTCCACTCGGCTCCGACAGCCAGCAGCAGCGGCCAGCGTCGCCAGCGCCCCGCCGCCCAGCACCGCGGCAAGCGGCACCTCCACGGTTGCGCCGGGTCCCGCGCCCGCCACTCGAAGCGGCGCCGGCTCGGGCTCCTTCGGCGCCGGCGGCGCCGGGCACGAGCAAGCCAGCACGGTGCTGGTGCTCGTGGAGGTGCTGCTCGTCGAGCTGGCCTCCAGCTCGTGGCCAGGACCGCTGCGCGGAGGCAGGCCGCTCGCCTCGTGCACCAGCGCGGGCCCCAGCACGTCGTGCGCCACGAACCCAGCCAGGAACGTGACCACGGCGCCTATCGCGCTGGTCGGGTAGGCTCGCATACCCGCCGAAAAGCTTGAGCCCCAGCAGCGATATGGGGGGCTGCTGGAGGGCTGCAACATCTAAAGAACCTCAGAGCAATCACGTGCGACGCACAACCATGATGTTTCTTCGGTATTTGAAAGACTTTGGCGTTCTCGCCGTTTCGGCTTCCCGACGTTCCCACACGGCACTGGAGGCCCCCAAGACCGCCCCAAGATGGCCCACGAGGCCTCCAAGAGGAGCCCAAAACGGCCCAAGAGGGCCCCAAGACGGCCCCGAAAGCGGCCCAAGAGAGGGAACACGAGCCGAAAATCCAAGCCTCCCGCCCTAAGAGGCCATTGGGAGGCCCCAAGAGGCGCCCAGGAGGCCCCTACGAGGCCCCCAAGAGACCCCACGAGGCCCCTACAAGCCGTGCAAGAGGCCCCCAAAAGGCCAAAGATTACCCAAAACGTCCCCCAAGAGGCGTCCAAACTGCATCCACCAGGCCCCCCAGAGACCCCCACGAGATCCCAACGAAAATCCAATAGGCTTCATACCCACAACCCAGGCACGGTGGCGGGATGGGCCGAAGGCCATCCATTCTATAGACACACATATCACTATGTATACACACATCTATATATATATATATATATATATATATATATATATATATACATACATACTTACATACTTACATACGTACATACGTACATACGTACATACGTACATACGTACATACATACAAGACTGCAGTGACGTCTCCCGCCATGCACCTGAGTCCTTGAAGTTTGGTATGCAGGCGGCATGGCAGGAAGGTCAAGCCGACAATTTAGCGATAACTCCTTGTTGCCTTTTCTGGCATCGCCGTTCTAAACATGTTTTTCGTTATCCTGCCTCCATGCTTCTTTTTCCTCATTCTCGCCATACCCTGCGCATTCTCCCCATCCTCCTCAGCTCTTTTTGCGGAGGCTCTCCTTGGAGAGCCTCTGGGGGCCGCGCAAAAGTTTTCCAATCTTTGGTAAGGCCTTCTGGAGGCCTCCTGGGCGTGTTCTGGGGGCCTCTGGAGGCTTCCTCGGGCCACCCTGCCTCCAACCGCGGTCTCCCTGAACGACTGGGTCACGATTTGGAATGCCTCGGAGGGTGTCTTGTGGCCATCTTGGACCGCCATGGGGCTCTCTTGGGACCATCTTGGACCCCTGTTGTACCGTTTTGGAGCTCTCTTGGACTGCCTGGAAGCCCTTTCGGATGGTTCTGGGGCGATTTGGGAGCCTCCCAGGCGGCTTCGGACGCCCAGAAGACCGCCGTCTTGGAGCGTCGAGAATCCGAAAAGAGGAGAACCCCAGAATTCACCAAAAACCGTCAGAAAATCAATGGTTTGTGCCTCTGGGGGCATTTTTGGGAGTGCTCTTGGAGGCCTCTTGGGACGTTTTGGAGCTATCTTTGGTGGAACCCGTCTGGGGCCGTCTTCGGGCTCTCGTGAGGTTCTCCCCAGTCGTCTGGAGGGTTGTTGCCCGGAGGCCCGGGAAGGGCCAAATTCGTTAGGGGGGGGGGCGCTTTTTCCGGCGTCCCCGGCCCTATCAAAATATACCCATGGGGTGATGTAGATGTATGTATGTGTATATCCGATGGGCCCGAGTTGATCTCCCTATGGCTTTTTTGCCATCGGAACGCTTTCGGTGCAGCGTGGGCTTCATTTTAGGATCGGCGCTGTGCTTCCGTCGTTCAGAACGGACTCTCGCCCAAGCGCGAGTCCTTCCTCAGTCGTCGCCCCCCCTGCTTTTCCCTCATCCACCTTCCCCTGGTCTTCCTGCTCCTCCCGCTCCTTCCACTCCAGCTCCTGCTGGTGCTGTTCGTCCTCCTCCTCCTCCTGCTCGTCCTCCTCCTCTTCCTCCTCCTCCCTCATCATCATCCGTCTCCTCCTGCTCATCCTCCTGCTCATCCGCCACCCTATCCCTCCAATGTGCGCAACTCCCCTTCTATCCGATTCCGCATAAGACGACGGTGTCCTTCTTGGAGTTCCAGGTTCGCAGTGACACGCGTCGGCGGATAGGAACAAAGCAGCAGAGATGGCGCGAATGGCGCGAGCGCCTCTAGCTTGTCCTCCTTCTCTCTCCCTTCTCCCCCCATCCCCCTCCGCCTTCCCCATCTCCTGCCCCCACCCATTCCCCGTCTCCTCCCCCCTCCTTCTCCCCACCTCCCCTTCCCCTCGCCCACCTCCTCATCCCCCCCTCACCCCCCCACCTCATGTCCCTCCCCATCCTGCTCCTTCCGCCGTCCTCCTCCTCCTCATCTTCCTCCTCCGCCTCCTCCTCATCATCATCTTCCTCGCCGCAGCCGCCATCGCCCGAGCCCTCGCCACCTCCGTCGCCTCCGCCGACGCCGCCGCCGACGCCATCGACGCTGCTGACGCTACCGACAAAAAAAACAAACACGCCTCGACCAGAAGCGACGCGACCTCGGCGCCTGGCTCGGGCGGAGCCGCGCGAGAGAGCGGCTCCTGGCGGCGACCAGCAGGCGGCGACGGCGTGAGGACGCGACGATGGCGGCGGGCGACAGCGGCGATCGGCGGCGGCCGACGTCGACGACGCCGACTGGGACTGCAATTGCGGCGGTGGCAGGTGGCGCGCGGGGTGGGGGGCTCACGGCTGAGGCCGCCTTGCCCTCCTCCGTGTACGCTGGGCTGGCTGTAACCGAAAAAGCGGTAGCGTCAACCTCCTCCTCCTCCTCCTCATCATCATGCTCCTCTTCCTCCTCTTCCTCCTCACAAACATCATCATCATCATCATCATCATCATCATCATCATCATCATCATCATCATCAGCAGCATCATCATCAACATCAGCATCGTCGCCATCATCATGATCATCACCATCAGGATCATCATCATCATCATCATCAGCAGCATCATAATCAGCATCATCATCAACGTCATCACGATCGTCATCAGCATCATCATCACCACCACCATCAGCATCACCATCATCATCACCATCATCATCAGCGGCATCATCATCAGCGTCAGCATCACGACTACCAGCATCACCATTATCGTCATCAGCATCATTGTTATCGTCATCATTATCATTAACAACATCTAACACCATCCATCATCATCACCCTCAGCATCACCATCATCAGCACCATCATCATCACCATCATCATCATCACCATCATCATCACCACCATCAGCATCATCAGCATCATCATCACCACCACCATCATCAGCATCAGTATCACAACGATCATCACAATCATCAGCATCAGCATCATCATCACCACCATCATCATCATCATCACCATCATCATCATCATCACCACCATCATCATCAGCATCATCATCATCAGCATCGTCAGCATCACCATCATCATTATCATCAGCATCATCAGTGTCAGCATCGCCAGCAGCCGCATCATCATCTTCATCATCACCGTCATCATTATCCTGATTATCAGCGTCATCATCATCATCAGCAGCATCAATCATCATGACAACCAACATCATCATCATCAGCATCATCGTCATTATCGTCATCATCATCAGCAGCATCCATCGCCATCCATCATCATCATCATCATCATCATCATCAGCATCGTCATCATCATCGTCATCCCGATCCTGATCCTGATCCCGATCCTGATCCGATCCTAATCCTCCTCATCCTCGTCATCCTCATCCTGATCATCATCCTCATCCTCATGATCATCAGCAGCATCACAACCATTACCATCATGGTCCTGATCCGGATCCTCATCCTCATCCTCACCCTCGTCATCATCACCACCACCACCATCATCATCATCATCATCATCACCATCATCATCATCGTCATAATGATTAGCATCATCATCATCATCAACATCATCGTCTTCTTCATCATCATCATCATCATCATCATCATCATCATCGTCAACATCACCATCATCATCATCACCACCCTTTCCGCTATCATCATCATTACCCTCAGCGTCATCATCATCAGCATCAGCATCACCATCACCACCATCATCATCACCATCATCATCACCATCACAACCGCAACCAGCGCCACTGCTATCACCGTCAACCTCACCATCATTACCAGCAATTACAATGTCATTATCAGTATCATCATCACCATCATCATCACAATCACCAGCATCATCATCATCATCACCATCATCACCACCACCATGATCATCATCATCATCATCATCATCATCATCATCATCATCATCATCATCATCATCAGTCTCACCATCATGATCATCAGCAGCACCATCATCATGCGAAGTGGTATTCTCAGAGGTTGATCGGCTCGCCAATACGCCCTCATCCCGAGTGTGCGGCCTTGGGTCTGGTGTGGATGATGGACCGCGGCCTCTACGCCAACGGACTGCTGGAGCGGGACAAGGAACCTGAAAAAGGGTCAAAATGATCTGAGCGAGAGATCTGTAAATTGGGTTCGGCCACCACCAGCCCCTGGATCTTCTGGAGTTCTCGACAGGGCTGTCTCGGCGGCCCGAGTGTTTCCCGCCTGTGCCCCAGCCTGTTTCTGGGGGGGACGGTTCCGGCATGCCTAATGCCAGGCATGAGTTAAGAAGCTGTGAGTGGGCGGTGGTGCCGATGGGGGGACGGGGGAGATCCCATCACGGCCGCCTACGGGCCCTTGAAAGTTCTGAGCGGTCTGCGCCGGCCAACTGGGCCCACACGACGACCTTGCGGAAGTTTATGGAATGCCCTCTCCCTGAGTGCCCGCCTGGCTTCGAGCGGGTGCCGGCGGACCTCGACCTCCAGCAGCAGGACAGGACGACAAGGGAGAGGAGGGAGAGGGGGGGGGGACAAGCTCGGCGACATCGCACCACATCTGATATCCTGCCCTCCCACCCATTCCTTCCCATGACGCCGAGCTCTATACGCCGGTAGGCGTCATGACCCCTATCGTATAATGCACAATCAGAAAGGGAAGCTGTGTTCATTGGAGGAGAAGGAGGATGATGATGATGATGATGAGGAGGAGGAGGAGGAGGAGGAGGAGGAGGAGGATAACACGCTGCTGGGAACCGTCGCGCTTAGCACAAGACGGCCACCTGAGAACGGGGAGGCGCAAGCCCCCCCCCCTCGGTGCTACAGGACGTGCTTCGCCCACCCGTGGGATCGCGGCGGCGGCACGCAGCACGCCGGCGACGGCGGCGGGGGGCGCGGGGCCCACCTCGGTACCGAAGTTGGGCGAGACGGGCCACGGGGCGCGCGCGCTCGCGCGCCTCTCTCGAAGCTCACCGCGCCGACCGACCGCCGCCAGAAAAAAACGACTTCGCACGGGCACCAGGAGGCGAATTTTTGAACCAGGAGCCCGGTAGCGGCCACAAAGCCGAGTCCAGAAGCACAAGGCCGAGAAACCCAGGGCCAAGACCACGGTCAAAAGACCATGGGCTCATACACAGCTCTGCTAATCCTCCCGACTCCGCTCCCTGGGCAATCGCAGCCAATCGGCTTCGGGATCGACAGCGGCGACGGGGCGCGGGACGGGGATCAAACGCGAATTGGGCCTCCCCTCATCACTGGGGTGCTTACTTTCAAGGAAGAGGTGGCGATTCCGACGCGCGTGTTCCCCAACTGTAATAGAGGGGTGCAGTCCAACAACAATTGGCCAGCAAGACCTGTGGTATAATGTCAACCCCGCACACAGAGGACGACCGATCCAGGGGTGACCCAAACAAAGTGACCTCGAGCATGCTGCGACTGCACCATCCCGCGAACGGGCAGCACAGCAGCAGGCACTTTGGCCTGCGCAAGCGAAGCTCGAACAGGCCTGACAAGCGGACACGCGCCCAGTCGAGGGCGCACATTCCTTTCAGGCGGCACAGAGGCAGGTCCTTCACGAGGGCGAGCGACGAGGCTCACCGACGGCGAAAGGAGGGGACGCGAATCACGCGAGGGGGAAAGGAGGAGGAGGAGGAGGAGGAGGAGAAGGAAGGGGAGGAGAAGAAAGAGGAAAAGGAGTCGGAGTCGGAGTCGGGTGCCTGGGCAACTGTCCGCAATCGTTCTCTGAGAGCCTGGGCTGCTGGCGCGCTACGAAGGCGTCACGAAACGGGGTCGCCTACGGGACCCGTGGTTTTTATGCCTTTTAACCCGCTGCAGCGCAAGGCCTCCCTGACGAAAACAGCCACCAAACATCGTTATGGAACGTCGGCGGGGGCTTAGGACCTTTGGGCCAATCGCCCCCGACTCGGGCTGCTTGCCTGCATGCACTCGGCCTTCGGTGCAAGAGCAGTCTGCTACCGCATCCCCCCCACTCCCAACCTCCCCGCCCCTCCCCCCGACCCACTATCTAGCAAGTCTCTATCGCATGTTCACAAACGTCCCAATGCCCAGTTGGGCCAAAGGGGCCACGGCAAACACACAGCTCCAGGCGGGCACGTCCCAGGGGGAGGAGAAGAGGCCGACGCCAGGAACGCGGAAGAGGGAGGGGGCCCTGGAAAACGCCCCCAGCAACAAAACAACGAAACGACGCTACAGACCTTGCTTTCCTGCTATCCAGGCGTAAAATCACAAGCGAGATACGTCTAACCTACACGCTCTTGTCATCGGTCCCGATTGTTGCGGATTATTATCAGGAGTTCGCTCGCTCTGGCGCTGCCTCGGCTCGCCAGCAATCTAAGGCCGTCCACGTTCACCCCTGCTGCTGCCTGGCCCTGAGTGTTGCCTGGATCTGGCGTTCGAGTCCTGACGGGGGTGGAGCGCCGTGGATCACGTCTGCGCCCTGAGCTTTGAGCGCCGTCACCGTGGCCCTGCGGAGGTCAGGGAGGCAGCGCTTTCCGAGCTGGATATCCGCTTCCTGGTTGCCCACGCGGATCGCGTTGACCTGCGCCTGTCAGTGCGCTCCACGGAGAAACCGCCAATGAGGTGAACATGATGTACACTTTCCATTTCTCGTCTTGGCCCGAATCGCTGTAGGCCGTCTTCGCTCTGAAGTAGCTCACGATGTCGCCGAAGTCGTTCATCGACATGATCTCCGCTAGCATGCGGGACTCCTCCAGTGCTGTCTTCGTTTTGCCTTTCAGCGCGCCCCCTCGGCTCAGCTCCATGAAGAAGTCGACTCCGACGTGGAGGTGTGGCGGTCCGAGCTGATTCGCCCCCTTCTCCTCGCTGCGCTCCGCGCGCGCGGCCCCTGCCTCTGCTGCCGCGCCCACGGCCGCGCGCCCTCCTGGGGCCGGGAAGAAGTCCCACAGGCTGCCCTATAACTGGCTGACCATCTGCGCGCTGTCGAGGCTCAGCTTCTGGATGGGGACGATCTTCTCTGACGTGATGGCGTCGCCTGACACGTTGGCGTTGCCAGCGGGCTTCCTCTGGCCGCCGCGCTGCTGCTTGTGCTTCGGAGCTGATGCCGCTGACGCGGCCTCTCCCGCGTCGCCTCTGGGCCGACTGGGCCCCCCCGCCGTGGCTCGCCACGATGTCGCCAGGCCCGGCAGCGTGATCACATGCGCGTGTAAGATTTTCGCCGAGGCAACTATCCTCGCGGCTGCAGTAGCCGCACGTGTAATAGGGCTTCTCTTCGGGCTGAAAACTGGGCGATGTGGCTCGGGTAGGGCATTGCAGCGGATCCGACTTGAACATGGTGATCACATGTCTCAGACACGACGCGCGGCTAGCGGATGCTGTTCGACACCATGGGCACGCGTTCGCCCGAACAATCATGGGGTGCGAATTCCTCATGTTGTGGGCACGGGTGGCGTACACCGTCAATGCCTTTATCGCCAGGAAGGGCATCCCGCATCCCTTCCCCTCGCCCTCCTCTCCCACCTCGTGCGCGCACGCGCGCTCATCCACCATGGTGCTGCCGTCGCTGGCGGCGTCGTCGTCTTCGTTCTCAGACATCTCCCAGATGCTGCCGTTCGTCGCTGCGAGGCCTACTCGCGCTAGGAGTTGGGCCCCGTCTCGACTCGGGGGGTGCCTCAGGGGGCCCGCGTGGACCTCTCCGAACAGTTCCCCTGCCCCAGGATCCTGGAAGACCTGCAAGATGTTGTGCCTGTTCCCCCAGATTTGGTCGAGCCCCGCGTTTACATTTGCCAGCGCCCCCAGGTCGCCTCGGAGTTGGTGCGCCCGGGGTGCGCTGTAGACCGCGAGCCCGCCCGTGGCCCCTACCCTGGGTTGTTCGATAAGCCGGTCCAGCTCCAGCCCCAAAGATTGCGTCTAGGACTTGGCGATTGTCTCGAGGTTCCCTCGCAATCTGCTGCCGCCAGCGCAGCCTTTCAATTCTCAACTCGGTGGCCGCGAGACTCACCCTCCAGCGTTAAAGACGGCGCTGTTGGCGAGGGCCCTGATGCGACCGTCGCGTTCGGCCATGGCCCTGCCGCGCATCAGGAAGCGCTTCACACGCAGCAGCGCGGGGTCTAGCTTGTCTGCGAACGCCTCGGGCAGGACAGACGCCGCGAGGCCAGTGGCCGCAGCGCTGCACACGAAACAAAAGAAGAGCGCGCGGAAGAGGCGCGGGCGTGGCGGCCGCCGCCAGACCTCGCCCAGCGATCTCCAAGCTGCTCGGGCCCCTTTGATGCGGTTCTGTAGTTCGGTTCTCAGAACTCCGTCGAAGCTCGGGGCAGGTCCTGGGACGCGGACTTCCCGACAAACGGTTCCATGGAGTTGTTTTTGTCGGCTTGCTTCCCCCGCCGCCTCAAAGGGCCCCAGGCGCGCGAAATTGTCGAGGTGGTTCGTCTTATCTGGGTTCAAAAAGTGGCCGTTCTACTGCGTGGATATCTGCAGACTCTCTGTGACATGATTTAGCTGCTGCGCGATGCACTTGGCATTGGGAGCGCATGCGCGGATATGCGCGCGTGACACATCGCCCACGAAGAGGCCGACGCCGGTCTCTACTTCCACCCGCGAAACTGGGCACAAACCCCGTAGCCAGCTGTAGCGAACGCCCTCGGCTCCAAGGCGGTTGGTCCACGCCTCAACCGTAGGTGAGTAAATGCCAACTAAATCGCCTGCCGCGAGGGAGTGTCCCTTCGCGGCCCCCGCGGTCGGATGGTAGTCGGATGTGCCATCGCGAGCTTCGACGTGAACTGTTGTTTTTTGCACTGCCTGCTGAAGAAGAAAAATGTGATCTTGCCGTGCTGCGTTTGCGTGGAGCTCGTCTAATCTGCTGCGCTTTGTGCATGCAGATGCATTCGTGCCGTCGCGGTTGCTCAGCGCGTGGCTTAGTTTTGCTTGCCTACTTCTCCAGGGGCCCGCTGCCAGGCTCAGGGTGCACCCATCCCGCCGGCGCCCCCGCGCCCCTCCACGCGCGAATTCAGGGGGCGTGGGTCTCCGAGAGGCCCTCTGAATTTGCCCGAAACAAAACGCCCCAAACGCGTCGAAGCAGCGGGGCACCCGCTGGCCCTTGATGCCCCTCTTGTTATTGTTCTTACTCTGCGCGAACGACTCGGACCTAATGGCGCTCAGGGGGCCTCTCCTACGATCCTGATCAACGCCCAGAGTTCGTTGTGGCGACTGCTGGAGTTCTCTGGGACAAACTTCCGGTCAATCTCGTTGGTGCAGCGTTTCGGGTCGATGCACATACATAGTGCCTCTGCCAAGACTCCCCGCGATGGCCCCACCCTCCGTTTGGATGCCCTGCGAAGATATCGCACCTGCCCTGCGCGGACTCCTCGGATCAAGTATCCGAGCTCCTCGTGGTCGTGCAACTGAGGAAAGAATCTCCGATCTTCTGTCCATGCCTGCCAGTGGATTTTGTCGCACACCATGCCTCCGTCCTGCGTAGGTAACCCCGGGCCGCCCGTCCATTGTTGCATAGTCATTCCCTGTCTCGGTGCAAAAAAAGAAACGTTTCATCAGTTCTCGGCCTGCGTGGGAGAGCATGACGCGAAGGCGGTGCAGTTCTGCAAATCGGTGATGTTTCCAAGCCTGGTCTACCGCCTCGACCAGCTGCTCCAACTTTGTGTGCTTCTGGTGGCGACGAAGTTGTTGCAGACGTCGGGATAGCAACTTGAGCTTTGCTTCTACTAGGTCGAACTGCGTGGAGCCATCCCCGCGATGCGCTGTGCTTCCAGCGGCGGCGATCTCGGCGCGCAGCCTGGACCTTTCCTCGGGCAGCTCGATCCTCTTGCTGCGCATGTTTTTGTAATCGATAGTGTTGACGCTGTTCTTCGGGTAAATATCCTGCATGGCTCCGCGTATCGCTTCCGATCGTATTTCCCGCCATCTCTGTACATCTCCTTGGTCCCAGTCGGTTCGCCATTCTGCTTCGCTGATGTCCGAGACCCTTTTCTCCACTGCCCTCAGGAACTCAATGCGTCTGTACCCCGTGCTGTATGCTGCCATCATGCTGTCTCGCTTGGCCGCTGGCGTGAGGTTACTTGTCCGCGCTCTTGCTATAGACATATCCAGGTTCACATACACGGGCACGTGGTCGTGCAAATGGGTAGCAATGTGAAGCTGCAGCCGTCGCGCCAGTCCGAGGAGCGGGTGGACTTGTCGGCATCACGAAATGGTCGATTTTGCTATTGTGCAGACCCTTGTAGTATGTCGGCCCGTTGTGTATGAATGTGTCTACAGCTGTCATATGATTGCTCCCCACGAGATTTTTATCCAACTTGCTGGTGTTGCCTTCAGGTGCGGGCTCCGCAGTTCCCACATATTCACATTCTTGCAGTACTTTGCGGCCCGTGATGCCGGTTTGCCACCCGAAAGAGCAGTTGAAGTCCCCCGCTACTATCGGCATGCACTTGTGGCCCAGCTTGTCGATCTCGCCGTCTATCCAGTGCAGAATGCGGTGGCTCATTTTTTGTGCGTGTTCACAGCCAATCCTTTGGGCGGGAAGTATACTGGGAACACGGCCATCGCTACCGTGCCTATTGTGAAGACAGTCAAGGCCACGCGGCCCGCAATGCCCAGCGACCTGGGTGGTACTGCTACTCAGCTACTCCTGAACATTTCCTCGTAGGCGTGGTCCGAATAGCACCGCGATGCCGCACGAGTTGTTGGTTCCCTGTGATTTCCGCCATCCAAATTGTATGCAAGCATGATGCGGCAGCTGGCTCTGGCTAAAGTAATATTCCTCTCTGGCTGCACGACCCGTCCCGATCGCTAAATACCTGTCAAGATTCTCTGTCTGCATGGATATATTCTCTAATCTGTTGTAGTCAGCCCACTGCACGTTGTGATAGACAATCTTCATTGCATGAACGGATATCAAAAAAGATAGTGGGGTACGGTAACAGACTGCGAATGGAGTGTCTCGCCTCCGCGGCCCGAGCGGCCGTGTCCCCTGCGCGTCGCCTTGTGCTTCCCTTGCCAAAGATCAGTGGTAGCAGGGATCGGGGGTGGGCCGCGCACAGGTGTCTGGGCCGTGGTGGCGGCTAGGAGAAGGAGGAGGAGGGGGAGGAGGACGGGGGAAGGACGATGAGGTAGGATCCGAGCGCCCAATGAAAGTCCTGTTCGGCCCCCTCGCGCGCCAACCGCGCGTCTTCCCGGAGGCCATCGAGGTCCCAGTCGCCCTCCTCGAGCCAGTAGTCCCCTGGGTCCACCGACCTGGGGTGCGGGGAAGGAGGAGGGCGATGAGGACGACGGCTACAAGAATGGGGAGCGGGAGCGGCGGCGAAGACGAAGACGACGACGACCACCACCACCATCACCACACCGAACGACGACGACGGCTGCGACGTAGCCACGATCGATATGCTTCGACGACGACGAAGACCAAAACGAAGACGACGACACAGACGACTAAGACGACGACAACGACAACAACGATGACGACGACGACCACCGCCACGCACCATGACGACGACGATCACCATCAACGACAACGATGACGACGCCATCGACCATCGACAACCATCGACGACCATCGACGATCATCGACGACGACGATGACCATCGATGACGACCTTCGACGACAAAGATCATGACGGTGGCCTGCAACAATTTGGACGGTGACAACGAGGACATGGCAACGTGCAGAAGGGTGCAGAGCAAAGGGGAGTGGCCTGTCTAAAAGGGCAGGGAGCTTCTTGGAAGGGTTGGGCACATTTTTTTCGGGAGCTCCAAACACAGAACGTACGCGCACAGCCAGTGCATGCTCGCCCCCCATTTCGCAGGGCAGCCCTCATGCCGCGAACGCTCACATAACACGTTTTCTCGAATCTCACGTGAACTCACGTACGCGTACGTCTGTGCTTGGCTTCTGATTCGAAGAAGGCCTAGCGAATCTTCTGATAGACGGGGAGGTCTTCGTAATGAGAAGGCCGCTCCCCGACCCTGTGCCCCTTTCCCGATGTCCGACGTCGTAGGCAAGTTCATTACTTCGTAGGAATCACGGCCACAAGTATCGATACAATTACCCGGTAGGCATGATTTCTCGATATGGATCGCTCGGAACGGACGAATTCGCTGGTCGTGCTATTGCCATTAGCGTCAGATCTGTGGGTCTGCTCATCGACACGCAGGAAGACGGGGCCGACGTGCCAGAGGCCGCGATCTCGGCGATCAGCTCGGCCGCCTCCCCGGCTGGTTCGGGCACGCCCACCAGGCCAACGCGCACCTGCGCGCAGCGGGAGGCGGGACCGCCGCAGGAGGAGGAGGAGGAGGACGACGACGACGACCACGACGACGACGACGACGACGACGAAGACGACGACGACGACGACGACGACGACGACGACGACGACGACGACGACGACGACGACGACGACGACGACTGGCCGTCAATAGAAGACCTGTTAGTGTGGACGTCCAAAACACACCTGAACACTGTCGAATTGCCGGAGAATCAAAGGCGGCGCAAGGGTACCTTTGCAAAAGTCAACTCCATCCCCAGACCCCCGCCTGGAGCTCTAGACGTCATCTGCGGGACCGGGCTCTCTTTGCGGGTCGTTTCCTGATGGAGCCTGGGCACGAGACGGGCCACTGGAGACCCAAACCTCGAAAGAGCTATTCCCCACGCTGTTTTATGACGCTGCAAGCCTGGATTAAGTCTGCTCATGGCTCTGTCCCCGCAGACCGTCCCGGAGACCACCCTGGCCCGTCTCTCGAACTGCGCCTGGCCGCTGACACCAAGCTCCAGGGCCGACCCCCCCCCCGAACCAGTAGAAAGACGTCAAAACGGCACGGTCCGGAGCTCTGGCTCAGCCTGTCTCGGCGGCAGACCTGGCCACATGCAGGGTCCTGCGGGAGGCTGAAAGAGCTCGGAGCGCTGACGCATAGAAACCGGGGCGAGGTGAGCGTGTCGCACCGAAGCGCGGCGGGCCAGAACCGACGGCGCTGCACGCGAAGCCAAAGTTCCTGACCGTTTCGTCCCCGCTCACTGGCGCTCCGGGCCAACAGGGCGCTGGTCAGGCGGGCCCCACTGCGCGCCCGCGCCTCCCGCCCTCGCTCTCGCAGCAGGCGGGCGTCATCCCGCAGGCCGTCCAGGTCCCAGACGCCGTCCACCTCGTCTCAAGGGGCTCCTCCTCATCCTCCTCCTTCGCCTCCTTCGCCCCCTCCTCCTCCTCCTCCTCCTCCTCCTCCTCCTCCTCTTCCTCCTCCCCCATCCTCTTACTCCCTCCACCTCACTCCTCCTCCTCCTCCTCCTCCTCCTCCTCCTCCTCCTCCTCCTCCTCATCCTCCTCCTCCTTCTCATCACCATCATCCCTCCCTCCCCTCCCCTCCCCTCCCCTCCCGCCCTCCCCCGCCAGCCCAGTACCCCTTCTCAAGGCCAAACAACCTGGAATTCTGAGATAAAAGCCAGAACGCTGGCGCATCCGAAAAGACTGCAACCGCGAGACGAGACAGCATGCATTGGTCATGTTCTTCAGCTGCAGTTTGCAAGCGTCTGGGTCTGCAATGTGCTGGATTCTGGGGCCCTGGCATCACCCAGGCCCTGAGAGAAACGGGTCATGAAGGAAAGGGTCCTGAGAGAAACGGGTCCTGAACCTTGGGGCAATCCAAGGGACCAGCTCTTCATCCTGAGCCGTTTTTATAGGCCCAAGGCCCCAGGAAAAGCCCTAATACGGCGAAAAGACACTCCAGGACCCACTCCTCTGTGGACCCCCCCTCAAATCCGGGCGACGCCAGGAATTGCCCTACAGTGTACCCCTATTCAAGAAGTGGCACCAACTATGTGCCAAAACATTGCAGAAGATGGCATGTAACGGAACCAAATCAATTGCAGAAGATGATGGTGTGGCTCCCGTGTTACACGACACACGCGGATGTCGCATTATGCCCGCTGGCGGGCATGAACAAACTCGAAAGGAACGTATGAGACAACGTCTGCGAAGTGGATTACGGATAATCAAATTCTAGCACAGCAATACGCACTAAAACCTACGGAAGACGCGCATACATCGGGCTCACCAGATCCCGATCGTCGAAAAACCTTCACGCATGACATTTGAAGATGTCGCGCGAGAAACCGGGTAACTCCGCAACAAGCGGAGCGCAGCTAGTTAGGGGCCCTGCAGATAGAAGGAAGCCAATCGTTGAAACCATGCGCATCGAATATAGCCATGCGGATAGCAGAGAAAGAAAGCCATGCGGACACAGGGGAAGTCATGCGGGTAGCATGACATAAGGTGAAAGAGTGTCTGTGGACCAGCTCTCCAAGGCTAGGACTCCTTTAGGCAAGACCGGTTGAAAAACAATCGCCAACCCAAAACTAAACAGTGGCCCTAATTCCGACTGGAACTCGGGCTCCCGATGGGGGGGGCGGAAGGTGTGGCGCGGCGCAACTAGCTCCGCTGCCGCGGGTCCTGGATGCCAGATCCGTCTGCGCTTGGGCATACCTTCAGGTGCGGGTGACGGCTGCTGAATCTGAATATGCGTCAGCTGCTGCTGCAGCTGTTGCTGAAGCTGGTGGTGCATCTGATGTTGCGTCTGCACCAGCTGCTGCCTCATCTTTTGCATCTACTGCTGGCGTTGAAGCTGCGGGCCCGCCGCGGGCGGCGGCTGCCGCGGCGGTTCCCAGGTGATCGGCAACATCTGCGGCAGCGTGCCTTGGCTGGGGTCGTCGGCGGCAGTTGCCGCCTTGTCCTTGGCCTAAGGTTTCTTCGCCTTCTCGGGCCACGCCTCCTGCTTGCATTTCGATTGAATACATCCGCACCCCCTCCAGGCGCACCACATCGCCCCCACCATCTCCATCTCCCTCACCCGGCGCCCGCCCCCAGCGTCGCCCCCGTCAGTCACCTTCCCCGTCGTCCTGTCCCGCCTGTCTTCAACCTGCCATCTAACCAAGCACCTATAAAAGGGGGCGGGGGGGGGCCGGGCGGACGGGGAATTGGAGGGGGCGGGCGGGGAGACAGTCCCGTGTTGTAGGGTCCCTGTAGGGTCCCCACATTGCTTTAATCTAGTATGCCCTCAGGAATGCCTCTTGCGTGCCCGAATCGCACTTATGACCCCATCTCTCCACAAAGCTAGGCCAGGCCTAGGGCCAATGCTTAGCTCTGTGGTGACGTGGGGCTTTTCAGAAGTGCAACTCGAATGCGCGCCAAGGCCAGTGCCTAGCTCTGTGGAAATACGAGATTCATTCGTAACCGCGATTCGAGCACGCAAGAGGTACTCCTGACGGCATCCTATATAAAAACAGCGCGGGGCCCGCGAGGGCGGGGGGGGGCAACGCCGCGCGGCGGCGCCTACGGGCCAGGGCCTCGGAATTACATAATGCCTTGAGGAGGCCATTCTGTGCGCGCTCAACGTACTTCTGAAGGTTTCCTGCAACTCGATGTCAGCCAGCCTGGGGCCCGCTGGCAGGTGCCCCCAAACTCAGGCTGCGGCGCGGAATTACGGAATGCCTTGAGGCGGGCGTTCTGCCCGCGCAAACTGCACCCCTGAAGGTTTCCCGCAGTTCGATGCCCAAGGTCTGGCGCTCCCAAGCTGGGGCTAGCGGGCAGCGCCCCCCAGTCTCGGGCCGCGGCGCCTCGCGGCGGCGCCTACGGGCCAGGGCCCGGGAATTGGGGAATACCTTGAGGCGGCCGTTGTGCGCGCGCAAGACGCAATCCTGAAGGTTTCCCAGTGGCTTCCCGCTATGAATTGCCCGGGGCTTGGCGCTCCCGGCTTAGGGTTCGCGGGCAGGGCCCCCCGATCCTTGGTTGCGGCGTCGCGCGGCGGCGCCTGCGGGCCAAGGCCTGGGAAGTACGGGATGCCTCGAAGCGGGCGTTCTGCCCGCGCAAACCGCACCCCCAAAGGTTATCCGCAGTTCATCTCAGGGCCTGGCGCCCAGGGCCGGGGATGTACGGGATGCCTTGAGGCGGGCATTCTGCGCGCGCAAAGTGCACTCCTGAAGGTTTCCCGAAATTCGATGCCCGGGGGGTTGGCGCCGAGTGCCTGGGAATTACTGAGGCTGGCGTTTTGCGCGCAACACGGACTCCTGAAGGCTTCTTAAATAAATCAATATGGGAGACCCTCCAAGGACCAAAGCCCCGGCGGCGGGGGCCCGTCATCGCCCGCCCGCCAGCCCCAGCCCGACCCCCGGGTGACGAGGAAGTAGGGGGCGAGAAGAAAGGGGGAAATGAAGGCGGCCCTAGCGGCGGCGACGAGGAGGGGGATGGGCGGGGAGGATGGGGGGCAGAGGGAGGGCGGGCGAAGAGGTGGAAGACCGAGGAAATGAGGGGGGCGACAGAGGGCCGGGGAAAGTGGAAGCAGCGGGAAAAATGCACGACGTTCTGGCTTACAGCAAGCACTCCTGTAAGCCGGTCGTCTTCGCGCTCTCGGTGAGATGCTCGTTCGCCCACGGCGTCGGCATGTTTTCGAGCACCGGCAGCGCTCGTAGGGCTCATACACTCACGGTTATCCATGGTTTTTTTGGACTGCTTGTAAATTTCGCTTCGTGCTGGACCCTTAGCGCAAGCAGTTTCGCGTCGGGCTGGACTGGGGTCATCAACCAGACAGGGACGGCCAGCGACTACGCCGACAAGCTGCTGGTTATGGTGGGGTCCCAATCAGCGCTGAGACTCCAAACGGCATCGCTGGGCCTCTTCCTGGGCATCCTGAAGAATGGGATCGGATCGAACCTGTGATGAGTTTCGCCCCATCCCCAGGAGTGCTGGGCCCCAAGCCCGATGGTGTTTCTTTAACTTGCGGCTCGGGCTGGAGGGCGGGGGGCTGCCGCTGCAGCTGAGGGGGCGGCGCGGACTGCCGCCCCCGCGGGGCCAGGGCCCCTGGCCACTCTGCTGCAGCGCAGTGCCGCAAGCCGCAAGCCGCTTGAAGGACTAAGGTTGCTTGAACGAGCGAGGGTCTCCGAGGTGCCCGCCGCTGCCTGCCGGAGGGCCGGAGGGGCCGGGCGCGCGCGCGCGCCGCGTTCCGCCAGGCGGAGGAGGCGATCACACCCCGACGAAACCAAAGCGGCGATGGCACGAGTGGGTGGGGCGGACCAAAGGGCTGAGGAGAGGGGGGAAGAGGGAGATGAGGAGAGGAGGATAGAGATGGACAGAGGACAGAGGAGAGAGGAGGAGGAGGAGGAGGGGGAGGAGGAGGAGGAGGAGGAGGAGGAGGAGGAGGAGAAGGAGGAGGAAAAAGAGGAGGAGGAGGAGGAGGAGGAAAAGGAGGAGGAAGAGGAGGAGGAGGAAAAAGAGGAGGAGGGAGGAGGAGGATGGCGAATGGAGTATGGAGGAGGAGCAACACTCCCATGAAAGAGACGAGAAGAGGGCAGGCGGGCAAGAAAGGGACGAGACGAGGGCAAAACGTTCAAGATCCACGTCTCTCTACAGCAGCGGCGGCGGCAGCAGCCAGCGGTGGGGGCGGGGGCGCGCCCGCGCCCGCGGGGCGAGAGGCACGTGGGGGGACAGGCGCGCCCTGCCCTGCAAACGGGTCGGCACCTTGAAGAAGGAGCCGCACAAAATGAGACCTTCCTGCAGCGGCCCTGGCCCTCGCGTTCACAAGGGAAGAAAAGGACCGAGCTGAATGCAAATCCTGGACACGGAGCGACTTGTAGCTAGAGAGAAGGAGATCAAGAGCAACGAGACACGAGCAAAGCGAGGCGAGAGACGGCCGAAGAAGACAGGAAAGGACAAGCAGGGGGGGGGTCCAGACAGAAAAACCAGGCCAGGATCGGGAAGACGGGGAAGAGCTTGGCTCACGACTTGATGAACAATAAGACAGGAGAGGTAGTGCTTCATATTATCTCCATATGCAAGCCCACAGATACGACAGTCATTAGTCCCAGACCGATATCTGGCAGACGTATTCCAAGCATTACACAAGGTTTTGACATAGGCAGTAGCACAGGACTCAGGCAGCTTACGAGCGGCATTCCGAAATCGGCGGAGCGTGAGATGACCATCCCTAGCAGAAATCGGGCCCCACTTCCTCAACTTTGTCATGAACATGTTCATGCAGGAGAAGGAATCCTCGGCCAGTATATAGGCCTTCAAACATTTACTCTGGAATTTCGGCATCCACCTATCAGTCGGCATAATAGGTATCTGTTACATGAAATGAGATGCGTGGGCAAGATG